TTTTCTATTGAGGTGTAGTACTTTGAGTGGGTTCTTAGCGTTCCAGTTTCCCCCCACATATTTCTGTCCGCATCCTTGCACTCTACCAAATATTCCGTATCTTTCGTTTGTTTCTTGTTAAAATTGGCTCACCCTTGACCTAACGGTAAAGTGGAGTGTCCAGTCCACGAAATCTATTATTTTTGACACCCCCACCTTTTTGTATTTATTTGAGAAGCTGAAACCGTAGAGGTCCACTTGGAGCAGCATTGAAACATCGTCAATCGTTTAAGGGGACTTCGCTTGGCCCTCTGGGCTCTGGAAGTACATCACACACCAGTTCAGATTTCTCAGAAAAAAAAAGAGATTGGAGTTGGATCGAGTTATCATGCAGAGCAGTACAATAAGTACAATTAGTTTAGTCTTTTGGCGAACTTTGGACACAGGCTGAACGTCAAGGAAGCTGAGCACTTGACAACCGACTCGAACGAGTCCGGTTTTCTCAGGACTAGTGTCAGTGAGCTGACAAGAAGGAGAAGTCAGAAGTAGGCGTGGCCACAGCGCGTCCTGTGACCAATAGAAAGCTGTTCAGGCTAAAAGCTGCAGACAGACCATATTCTTACTCCACTAACATAAGAAGAAAAACGGATTCCTAAACTGTACATGGTCCACGAACGGCTCATGTCAACCGATCCACGAATTATTGACTTTGGAGCTACTCACCTCGGTCACCCTCCACCCACTCTGGGTGTGCCTCTCACAAAACAGTTGGCTACCCGCTGGCTCGAGTTCTCGCACTTTTCGCGGCCTCGTGCCTATTATGGCAAGGGAACCAATTTTTGATTTGAGCACGTCCATTTTGCAGAGTCCGCTACAGTTTTTGAAATAATACCCCATGCTTGGGGGCCAGCTTCCCACTCACCACAGATCACCACACCACAGATAGGGCAAGCTCTTGCCAGATTCTTACTTCTCCAAGCTTTTTTACACATCTCCAAACCTTCTCAGGACCGAGCTGGAGCTGGAATTTTGTGGCGAGCACCTCACATCCAAAGTAAGCCATGCCCGTTTCGGGTGTATCTCCCCCATTCGTCGCCTTTCCCTTCACTGACTTTAGTCCACTTTTGCCCCATCCCTAACTCAAAGACGACAAGCTCAGTCCTTTTGCATTCCCTTGCGCTTTGCTGATTTTTGGGGAATCAAAGGCATGGTCCGCGATCAGGTATAGAAGTTGAAAATATGGCGTCTGGAGGGTAGTCTGATCGCTGCAAACAATCCTGTACCGTTTTCCCGGCAAAAAAAACTGTAAAGGAGGGGGATTATAGCGCAATATAGGTCCAGTGACTCCGCCCCAGACTCCACCTTCATGGCCGCCTTTCAGTAAAAACGAAGCTGCAGGACGAAAAAGCACGAAAATCGTCACTTGTACGGTCGTAGAGTTCTTATCGGGGAATCAGCTGTGCGGATGGGGAC